AATGTTGTTCAAGAGTTGAACATGTTGATACCTGAATGGCTTTTCTAGCTGAAAGTATGCTGAACTTAATAAGATGTGAACATTTTCCCGTTGGTCCCCACAAAGTAGGTAAAACAGTAGGGGTGTGTGTGTGTGTGTGTGAGTGAGTGAGTGAGTGAGAGAGAGAGAGAGAGAGAGTAGTATTACACCCTGAGGACTACTACAGTGTGGCTATTGAAATGAAACATCGTGAGAATTGCTCTGAAAATGTCTGAAATCAATTGCTGAAACAGCTGAATGATGAGAAGAAATGGCTGAAGTACTTTGTTGATATACAGTAGCTGAAGGATGAGATGTACAGAATGATTAAGATTGGACACAAAATGGACAATGAAACATGTAAGATTTGATTCTTATAGGCTCTAGTTGCTTTATAAGATTTAGTTACTTCTCATACTTTTAGTTTCCCTTAGTTACTTTTCAGTTCTTCATTTTCTCTTAGTTACTTTTCATTTATTTTCCTTGCTTATATACATTACAGCTGTACTGATGATTATCAGAACTACTGAGCTTTGGTTATTTTTAATACATTTATTTTCCTTGCTTAAATATCTTACAATTGTATTGATGAGAATCAAGTGATAATGAAGTAGAATCTGCTTACTTTGAATTCTGTAGAAAAAAGATGTCTGCATCTCCACGCAACCAGACAGCCTATTTACATTTTAGCAAAAACCTGTTGGCCTGTTTTACACCCACACCTGGATCCACTTAGCATATTCCAAGTTCTGCTTTGTCAAGGGGTGTCCTGCAGAGCCAGGGGGCCCATAACCTGAGATGACCACCTGGCCAGTTCAGCATACTTGTTAGCATCACACACACAGGAGGCCTGCAACCCAGGCCACCCAGACTCATTGATCAAGCTGCCACTTGAGAGATACACACACACACGCACACTCACACACCTGGTTTAGATCACATATCAGCAAGCAAGCGCAGGCAGGGGTTGACCTACTCATTCCAAATGGCCAATAGGATTATGAAGTGTGAATTGTTGTACCTTTGTTTAGGGTGGGCCTAGCCCAGCATTGTAAAAACATAACTCGGGGTTCAGAGCACGGAATTCCTGCGGGAGCTCTGTCTCTGATCCCAGCGCTGTAAGACTCCACCTGTGCTCAGACTTCCAGTAAACTTTCTGTTGATATTAAACAGTCCTCTCCTGTCTTCACTTCTCGTGCTTCGAACAAAAGAATTGGGTAATTTCTAACAAACAGCTGGATGGAACAGTTATCGCAGAGCATGGAGTGCAGCTGACAATCTAGTGCACATATAAAGAGCACACAACCTGAAACAGAGGAGTGGTACAATCCACAAGGTTCGGAGAATGACAATATCATCAGCTGTAGTTTCACTGAAGCACATTTGTGAATGTGGCATGGCTTACATAGATATCAGCAGAGTAACATCCCTTAGTGGACTGCACCAACTGGACATAGATGAGACATGATTTTATTTGAACCCAGAGATCACATCAGCCCTGGAGACCATGAGACAAGCCAACATGGATGACATGATGTTGCTTCATCAGATCAGACAAACACTGAGCAGACTGTGCACTCTGACCATCGTTAACCATAACACAGAAGGACTGCTGTCTCAAGTCGATGACATGAAGAGTCATCATCAATTGTGTCTGGCAGATGTTTTGTGTCTCACATAAACAAACCTATAAGGCTGCAACTGGACTGTTAAAAATTGATAAAATGCAACCAACACCTGTCATGTTCAAATTTTCCACAAATGGCCAATAGAGGCCATATTAATGTCATGATTCTGTCTCTTCTGCTTCCTGTAACATGCCTTTATTCTGACAAAAACTTCCTGTTAAGGTGTTTGCTATGATTCAAGATTCACCTCACCTCCCCTAACACTCTGAGGATTAACGCTATCAAGACAGTATGCTGCAACAGACCAAAACCTGCAACACAATCAAAATTTTTTCATATAAACTATCAATTAGCAAGAGCTATCATAAGAACACAAGAGTAGTTATGACACTGTAGGAGTTAGACATTTGCAAGTAGCATCTGTCAGTTATGGTCTGCTGCACTGCTCCATGACGTTGAAGGCACTTTATGTTGTTCCGTTATGCGGGAGTCTGGCTTGTACTGTAGCTAGCAGCAATGATGTTGTCTGGACCGCACAGAGAAATGTTATACTTCATGCAGATCCAACTCACTTTTCAAAACAAAACACAAGATAACTCTTATTAACGTTTCCACTCAAGACTTCATGCTGACACAACTGGAAACTCATCACAGAGACACGTGTTTCTTCAGAACAGAACATAAGGTCTTGTTATTATAAACTTATTGCTTTTATTGTTTTAGCTAAATGTTTCATTACCCTGTACTTTTTATTTGTTAAATGTTATTATTTAGTTTATACTGTGTTCATTTATCTATTCAGATTCCACACTGTTGTTCTGTCTTTTGTGGTACAGCTACAGTGGTATTTACATGAACTGTTTGTCAGGACCTCTATCATCCCACCAGTTCATAGTAAAACTTTACAGAATGTGTCTTTGTGAAGTTGTTCTGGATAAAAATGGTTTCCTGCCCTCCAGCAGTGCTAAAGGTATATAATAACTGTCCAAGTTTCAAACATATTTTGTACGTTTCCCAACACTTGCCACGCAGCAGGAGAGCTAAATACAGCACCCAAAAATGCCCTGAAAATAACTGTCACTGTGCATCTGACCAGTCTACACGTTCGCTTTGAGGACTACTTTCCAGAGAAACACGACAATAGTCACTGGATAAGAGATCCCTTTGGATCAACATGGAAAGTGTTGTGTTGCCAAGCAGCAAGGAGAATCAGATGGTCGAGCTGTCATGTGAGCAGATGCTGAGAAAGAAATTTGATGAGGTAAGGCTCCCCCATTTCTGGTGCAAATATGTGATGTCTGAATATGCCTCCCTCACTACATTGGCAGTCAAAGCAATCCTACTGTTTACAACTTGCAGTTCTGCATTCAGTTTTATACATATACAGCACCCTGTTGTGTTATTCGACTGTTGTATTTATGTTGTGTTATGCAGCAGTTGTGGTGTTTATTTTTATTTTTAAGTAACATTTCTTCAATTGATTCAGTTGAGAAACACTGATCTAGTGTACATAGAAAGAGCACACAATCTGAAACAGAGGAGTGGTACAATCCACAAGGTTCAGAGAATGACAACAACATCAGCTGTAGTTTCACTAAAGCACATTTTAGAAATAAGTGCTGAAGTGTTTCATGAAGGGAGCATTATTATTTGCATTATTTTTGACTTTTTGTTCATACCTCTACTTAACCTGGCAGCATTATGGTTCAATATGCACAACTGAGTAATAGTATGATAGATGGGTTGAGTGTTTGAAGTAATGCATTTCAGGTATAGAAGTCACCGAATATAACTTTTGCATCTCCTGGAGCCGGAATTTCCGAGTGCGCCTGAATGCAACCATAATACTGGGATTTCTGAGTGTACGTGAATGCAGCCATTACACAGCTGAACCGTATTACCGTAAGTTGTGCCACTTCGGTCTGCAGTGTGTCTGGGTGGCACACTTAATTTTTTTAATGCTAAAAATTCAACTTAGGTGGTTTAAATGACATACAACTGACTTCTTGCTTATATGCAACTCATGCCACGACAGTATGAAGGCAAAGAATGAATATTTTATCCTTCTGACATGGCAAACAGGGAACTATTTGTGGCGAGCTAATTAACAAGCTAACTATTAGCTCGTTAGCAATGTTGCTAATGTCAACCGCTAAGCTAACCATGTTAACTGAACGTTTAATGGATAAACGTAATGCAGCGCTAAAGGTGACTTTACAGAGTAATTCACATGGCAGCATAAGTGATAAATGGGAGTTGAAACTGGGAGTTGAGACAGCTAACTTATTGCTATATCCCATAACATCATTGCTGCGAGCTACAGTACAAGCCAGACTCCCACATAACGGAACAACATAATGTGCCTTCAACGTCATGGAGCAGTGCAGCAGACCATAACTGACAGATGCTACTTGCAAATGTTTGACTCCTACAGTGTCATAACTACTCTTGTGTTCTTATGATAGCTCTTGCTAATTGATAGTTACAAGAAAAAATATTTACAAAGTGGTACTGAGAGGGAGCAGAATTTTGCCAACTATATATTTTCTTGTTTTGTCTTTTTTTAATACTTGCTAGTTGTATGGTAACTGCAGTGGCTCATTGCATATTTACACATGTACAGCAGATATTAAAATATTGTTTCCTCTCAGACACAGAATGTTGATCCTGCCCTGTGCTTTACTTTGTAAGTAGAGAAGTACTCATGCTGAATATAAAATAAGACTGCATAACATGAATATGTACACTCACTGGACACTGTATTAGGTACAGCTGTACAATTGTATGCACTTCAGTGCAACACTTCTGCCCTAACATCTGTGTTTATGAAGCTCAAAATGTTAAAGGTGCTGTTGTACTGAACTTAATTATATTCAGAGGTGATCCTAATATTCTGACCTTCTCATGTATGTGAATGGGCAGGACAAAAATATACAGACACCTCTGAATACAATGTAGTCCAGTACACCACCTTTTACTATTACCTCAATAATGAACATATAACAGAATTTATACATTTATGAGATTCTCACCAAAAACTGAAACATTTTGTTTCATAAACACAAATGTTAAGGCAGAAGTGTTGCATTGAAGTGAATACAGATGTACAGGTTGTCAGGTTTGCTCTACGCCACCTGCCTCTCTCCCTTCTCTCTCTTTCTTCTCTTCTGATTCTCTGTTACAGGTCCTGGCTCCAGCAGTGCACACACCTAAGGTGCATCATCTCATAAGTGGCTTAGGAGGTACCACACAGCTGAGGCAGGTTACTACTTAAGACACTGGCGCACAATCACTCATCGCCAGTACGTTGACGAATCCCTTCTCATCCTTTGGCCTTTCATACAAGAAGCTATGCTCGCTCAGCGACAATTTGAGTGTCATGCTACTAAAAATTAAGACTGTTGACTCCTCCTCAACCTTCTGCCTATACTTGGTTTCCCGTCATTACTTCAGCGATCTGCACCTCTGATTCTCTTTGTTCAGCCTCTGAGTGACCTGCTGCCAGTCATCTTTCATCTTCCTCGAGCCCAGCCATCTCTGCTCTACCCCACCTGAGTTCGCTGGCTATACTCACCTGTCTCAGCTTATCTTCGTTTCCTGCATCTGCCCTGCATCGCCACCTCCAGCTCCCCATCTGTGGACCCCTCGAGCATTCAACAGGAATTACATAGGCCTTCATCAATTTATTTAAATAAATTATTGTTTTAAATATTCCACAATGAAAAACAAAATTGGCATGAGCTTCTAGTATATTTGTGAAGAAATATAACTCATTTTCTTTCTCTCTTTCCACTCCTTCTGGCCTACTCCCTTCTGTCTGAGTCTAGTCTGCCAGTGTGCTGACACCGTGGACATGCGACAGTAACTACACATATTATATATGAATGAAGACGTGGTAAATGCACACTCATTAGTAAATTATTTTACTGCAATTTTGACATTATTCAGACCACAGCTGGAAATGCAGTGTTAATCGGGTTTGTGGTGATTGTTTTATCTGTGTAGGTGAAGACTTTGAATCAGAATCTGCTTTATTGGCCAGGTGTGTAGGACACACGAGGAATTTGACTCTGGTACATCGGCTGTCAATGTGCATGTACATATCCCCATGCAAGGGGTAAGTAAACAGTAAGCCAACATAAGGCTGTGTAATATAACAAAATAAGCAGTATTAGCAGCAACAAACAGCGCAAACAATGCAAAATAAGCAGTATAAACAAGCAGTAAACAATGCAGACAGACAAAGGAATGCTCTCTATGAAACGAGATAAATAGGAATAAAAATAGAGACCTGTATATACACACAGTCTAGATGCATTTTACAGATCTATATGTACGAGGTATATTTACAGGTATTGCACTGAGGATTACTGAGCAGTCATACCATCGTGGGTTAAGTGTTCATCAGAGTGATGGCCTGGGGGAAGAAAATGCCCCTGTGCCTGGTTGTCTTGGCCCACAGTGACCTGTAACGACATCTAGAGGGGACGAGTTCAAACAGATTGGCTGTGTCCGAAACCGCATACTGTGACAGTACGTACTGAAAGAGATGAAGTACCTACTTACTGACCGTTAAAACAGTAGGTACTGTATAGTATGAAGCCTGGTAGTATGAATGAGATTCGGACGTACTACATCCGCCATGTTGATACATCACGTGACATACGTTTTCATAGCAGCGTCTTCTTTGTTGGATAACTCCTCTCCCGGGGCATCATGGGATAGTGAAGTGTCCATCGTATGCACACTGCAAAATCCAGCCGGAAGCAGTAGGTCATCCGGGTACTTTTCGCCTACTGTTTTTGGAATACTACGAATCCGGACATACTACTCGCCTCGCCTACTGCTTTTCGCCTACTATACAGTATGGTAGTAGGCGGTTTCGGACGCAGC